CAAGCGGGAGACCCTACACCATTTCTGACAAATGGCAGTCCAATCTCTTCTTGGAAGTCTCCAATGATGGCGCTCCCAGATATAGAAGCATAGTCAGCCGCACCAACAAGGCTGAAGAACAGTTTCTAATCGTGAGCTGTCAGACTTCTGAACTTCATGTCAACATAGTATGGTAGATTTACAGGGCATTGTGCAACTACATCACATAGTGTAATAAGATTGGGATTGGGACCTCTATCCTCACTGTGAGTTGTGTTGGGGAGGGTGTGTGTGTGTGCACGAAGGGAGGTTCAGCCAATCTCATTGTACACATGTTGTACTCTGACGATAAAGGAAATAATAATTTTTTTCTCTTTTGGAAAAGTGGAGAGAGGGAGGGAAGCTCTTGTTACATATTGACAGACAAACCAGGATCTGTTTGACTCCGTTCCTAAATGGGATCTTGGGAGATCAAACATAGATTGAGATGGCCTTTGCTGTGGCCAGCATTTCCAAAACTGGATTTATTGCATTTTTATCCCACTTGGAGAACTTAGAAATGTGTATCGCAGGCTCTCCTCTCACTCCACCCCACCTCCCAAAACAACAGCCCTGTGAGGTAGGTTGGTCTGGGAAAGAGTGACTGGCTTCAACTCCCCCATGAGCGAGCGAAGAGTTGACTATGGGTTTTGTAGTTTTCACATCCTTTGATCCCTGATTTCTTTTGTCAACAGAGGCTCTATTGGCTTGTTCGGGTCATCTCAAGCCTGTTTATTGGAGGAGTGATTGTTGGTAAGTCCTGGTTTCCTTCTTTTTATCTATCTATCTATCTTAATTTTGATCTTAATTTGGGCACCACGCTACAAAAAAGATGTTGAGACCCTAGAAAGAGTGCAGTGAAGAACAGCAAAGATGGTTAGGGGACTGGAGGCTCAAACATATGAAGAAACTGGGCATGGTTGGTTAGTCTAGAGAAAAGAAGGACTAGGGGTGGCATGATAGCAGTCTTCCAATATCTCAGGAGCTTCCACAAAGATGAGGGGGTCAAATTATTTTCCAAAGCACCTGAAGGCAGGACAAGAAGCCATGGGTGGAAACTAATCAAGGAGAGAAGCAACTTAGAACTAAGGAGGAAATTCTTGACAGTGAGAACAATTAATCAGTGGAACAACTTGCTCCAGAAGTTGAGAATGCTCCAACACTGGAGGTTTTTAAAAAGATGTTGGATAACCCTTTGTCCGAAGTGGTGTAGGGTTTCCTGCCTAGGCAGGGGGTTGGACTAGAAGACCTCCAAGGTCCCTTCCAACTCTGTTATTCTGATCTGGATGAGTCTTCTGGATGGACAGCTCAGTTCCAAGCATTTGCTTTCCACAGTAGAATTCTTGGGAGGTGGGAAGATGGAGTAAGACTAGGCTTAGAAATCCTGTCCTTCTTAGCTATCTCCCTTCCGGAGATTCACGGAGAGGTTTCTCTCTTTTGCAGCTGTTAACTTCTCCTCAGACTGGGAGAGCGGAACGGTGGCAGCCAACACCACCTACAAATCGTTCAGCTCCACCATGGTCCATGCGGACATTGGGCTCCACGTTGGCTTGTCGGGAGTCAACATCACCCTGGTTGGTGAGTTTGCAGGGCTGCCAAGAGAAGGAGCTCCGACCGGGGTTAGAGATGGGGAGGGGAAGTTGGACGCTGCGATGGCCAGTGGCAATCATCTTGGGAGACAGAAGGGAGACCTTCAAGTTGGACAACCGGACTATGATCTTTGCAAGGGCAAGCAAGCACGAGGTGTGTGGGGGAGTTGGGGGGGTAATGCTGGCCTTTTCTTGTGGGAAATCTGTTGGATGCTGAAGTCTGAGAAGGGAGAGAGAGGCTGAAGCATGCAGTGGTTATAGAGAGGGAAGAAGAGAATGAATATTCTTCCTTTATGCCTCCTTCCTTCCCTCTCTCCCTCCTCTCTCCCTTGTCTTTCTTTTCTTTTCTTTCTTTCCTTCCTTCCATCTCTTCTCTCCCCTTGTCCTCCCTCCCTCCCTCCCTTCTCTTCTTTCCAAAGGCCTGATTCAATTGCTTAGCAGGGTCTTCAGAGATTTTGACCAAGAGCTTTTGAAATGGAGTAGAAGGAAATGTAGCCAAAGCGGTCAGGGGCCCATCTTTTTTTCTGGTCCCAAGAGAGATCAGGATATGTAAGCGCTCCACTGCTGGAGGATCCAGTCCTTGTGGGGGATTAGAGAAACAACAGCTTCCGCCATTATTTGAGCCTGATAACTGTAGCTTGGTGGAGATAAGCCACCCCGAAGCCACAATGGGAAGAAAGTTCACACGTGGGCCTCTGGAATATTTCTAGCCCTTCCCAGTTCTCAGTCCTCTTCCTCAGAGGTCTCCAAACTTGGCAGCTTTAAGACTTATGGACTTCGGTTGAGTACTTCTTTGAGGTGGCCATTTCTGACCACCGCTCCTACCGCCTTTGGGAAAGGGAGTTTGACCAGCTGAGGAGGAGAGATGCGGCTCTCCTTGACCCCGCTGGCAGTCTCCCCCTTCTTCACCACCTCTACGGGGTGGCTTAGCCCCGAAACCAGCCCGGCTCGGGGCACTCCAGCGGCGAGCCCAGGCAGAAACCACGCACGATCGCGGATTCCTGTCTGTCGCCGAAGCCCTTCAAACCGGAAGACTCGGACCTCTTCTCTTCCTATTTAAAGGCTCACCACCAACTTGCATTTTTTTGCAGGAAAACCCGTGGAGCAGCTCAACGAAACCATCAATTACAACGAAGAGTTCTCCTGGTGGTTTGGGAGCGACTACGACAAAGAGTTTGAAAAGGGGCTGCAACGGGGCTTGCCCAGTCCCATCCTGTACGTGGCAGAGAAGTTCACTGACCACAGTCCCTGTGGCTTGAGCAATGTCTACCGCATGGCGGGCCACTACGCCTCTGCAACCCTCTGGTAAGGGGCCTCGTGCTTCTCAAAGGGGGGGGGGATTCATCCAGGCAGAAACTAGAAAGAGGGAGGAGTTTGGGGGCCTGGATATTTCTGACCATCCAACCTCAGCTTAAAGAAATCTCACCACCTTTGGAAGCCACCCATGGTTTCTCTGTTGGACGGCCCTTGTAGTTAAGAGCTTCTCCTCTTCCCACCCCATGCAATTCTTAATTAGGTTTTTAAAGGGCCTCTGGGTTTCCCTGGGGCTGAAGCCCCCCCACCCCCAAATCCCAAGTCCAGTTCTTTCCGCTTCATCTGACACCAGCCTGGCTTTCTCCTCCACTGCTTTGGAGCCACGGAAGTCAAAGTGGGGAAAATGCACAGACAGAGAACTCCTTGAGGCCAAGCGGCTGATTCTACTGTGGCCTGAATGAAAACAAGATCCTCAGCTTTCGGATCCTTTCTGACCGAGAAGCCCCAAATGGGAGGGTCCCTCTTCATGGGGGGTCAGGCCCCACTGCCAGTCTCTGTCCTACCAAGGCCCCGTCCCAATGCTCATCATTGCTTCCTTTCCTTTCCTAAAACTGGAAGTGATAAGATGCCAATAGAAGGGAAAATGATTGAAAAAAAATATTTGAATGTGCAGAAATGAATAGATTGACACTAGAAATTAAAGAATCTGAATATCATATGGTATGGGATTTGTTTTACAAATGGATAGAAAATAGAATAAACTAAAAGGGATTAGATGTATTCATAGAGTAATAAGAGGAATTAATGTATTAGGTATACTGGATTTTGTTTATGATATATATATTATATCATAAATTTATATTTATTTTTGTTTATGATATATATATTATATCATATATTTATATTTATTATATATTATATATTATATATTATATATTATATATTATATATATATGTGTGTGATTATTGTGATGTTGTTGGATAAGAAGAATATTATTAATAATGACTAAGCAATTTGAAATATGTACCTAATCGACGCACAATTGAAATGAAATGGATTTTTTGTATATAAAAAATAAAATAATTTTTTTACTACATACATACATACATACATACATATACACACACACACATACATACACATATATCTATATTTATATCTATATCTAATCTCTATCTCTATCTCTATCTATATATCTATATTTATCTGTATCTCTCTATATCTATCTATCTATCTTTCTATCTATCTATCTATCTATCTATCTATCTATCTATCTATCTATCTATCTATCTATCATCTATCTATCTATCTATCTATCTATCTATCTATCTATCTATCTATCTATCTTCCAGGGCAGGATTTTAATTTCTGCCACGAGCATAGAAACCATAAGTACTAAAAATATGAATGAGTTAAATATAAAAAAAGGGAATTCTACCCAATGCTAACCCTATTTCCAGCAGATGCCCACCTGAACCCCAGACCTCCTCTGGCCCCCTCCCCTAACCCTTGTTTTCTTTCTTCTTTGCAACTGCAGGGTGGCCTTCTGTGCGTGGCTCATCTCCAACATGCTCTTCTCCATGCCAGTCCCAGTTTATGGCGGCTTCATGCTTCTTGTCACGGGAGCCTTCCTCATCTTTGCGCTCCTGTCCTTCTCCACAGGGAGGAACGCCTGGTGTGCCATCCAGTTTGGGATGGCATCCCTGAAGTTGGCCTATGGGGCATCGTTCTGGCTCACTCTGGCCACAGGTGAGCATCCCAAAGGGTGTGTTTTTTTTTTTTTCTGGAAGCGAAGAAATTTCAGTCCTGGCCATTCCTCTGCAGGCCATTATTTCATCCATGGAGCTCCCAGCCATAGTTGTTTCTTGAGGTTCACCTTGAGTAGACTTGAGTAGACAAATTGGGACAGTCTCCTCCTCCTCTGGGTGGGCTTATCTACCTGGATCAGCGGTGTCCCTACAGCTTGTGGTTAAGGAAGTCATAGGGTCAGCAACGATGGTGTGATCCAAGTGCTGCTCATTTTTTACTTGCATCACAACCAGGCTGGGTGCACACAACTCATTAATCCCAAAAGCAAGCCAACTTCATAATTCTAAGTAAGGTTTATGTCAGGGCTCCAGCAGTTACCCCCATTTAAATCATGAGTCTCTAGCCAAACTTCCAAAACTTAAAAGAAGATTTATTAAGAGTAAACATACCAGCGCTACCTGAGTGTAGCCAACTCTGAGACACATCATTCATTGTCACCCTTGACCCTGGTTTCCCCCCCACCCCCTGGGTGTATCATAATTCATATTCTCCAGTTAGAATTTTTCACGGCAAAAACTTCGGTCACCTAGGAACTATCTTTGAAAACATTTATGGAATGCAAGCTGCCCACTGCTCCCCATTCCCTTTCTATTGGCAACTCTAAAAAGACCATAGAAATATTTTAGGAGTTGACAGTTTATAATTTAACCAGAGTCAGCAAGTGGTGCAAATATGCTAGTTAACCTTTTCCCTGGACTGTTACCGTGCGTGGGTACAGCACATGTGTCGGAAAGCAAAGCTGAGGGATGTTTTGGGGGTGCCCCTGTTTCATGCTGCCCGTCTCCCTCTCTTCTAGGGCTCTTCTGCTTCCTTGTTGGCATAGTGGTGATTGCCCTGCACTTTATCCAGCCGGACCTTCTGAAAGCATTCTTTGACTTGGCTGAGGATGAAGAGGACGATGAAGGCATCCTGGGAGAGGTGTACGTCAACCCCTACTTCCACCAGACCCAGACGCTTTCTTCCCAGCCCGATTTCAAATTGACCATCAAGAACACCTAAAGCTAAACTTGGCCCGGGACTTGCTTGAAAGGGGACTTTCAAAAAGGGACATGGACACTGCGATGCCCCGGCCAAGCAAGCCACTGGGAAGTAATGATGCACTCTTACGAACTGGCTCTTGGTGTCATCATAGGCTTTGGTAAGTCAACCACATGAACGCATGGTTTGGGTCCGAAGAACAATCACGGAACGCTTCTCTCGAAGGGTCTGGAGCCAATGCCAGCCATGCCAGGAAAGGAGTGGTGCCAGTAAGAGAGATGGTCCTAATGTTAGCAGGAGGGGAGTACACACAGCAGACCCCATTGGGGGTAGTGGTGGTACTCTGTTTGCTAGGGTTCCTCTATAGCCACCATCTCCGCCCCCCCAGATAGCGAAAGAGGGAGGAAAATATGGGTGTCATGTATGGTGTGCAGCCTGCCCTTGGCTTGGTGCACTCAGAAGCCCTGGAAGATGGTGTCCTGCCCCAACACACTATGGTCCAACTTACCAAGGAGCTTCTGTAGCCAGAGGACATGTCCTTTGCATCACACAACAAACTACTTGGGCTGGTTCCGTTGAATGGAGATCCTTCCTCATGTCATGGGCCCAACTGAATATTTATTTTATTTGAGTTAGGCACTGCCTGACTCCAGCTGACTCAGAGAGGCTTTGGAGCATACACAACCAACACATCAATAAGCATTTTTTTTTTTAAAAAAAGCACTCCGCTTTGTTGTTCTACAAGCACACAACAAGGCTCCCCAAATACAGAGCGTAGAGTCATGCGGGGAGGGAGCAGAAATGTTTAATGGAAGGTAGCTATTTCATCTCTACAAAGTTGTCTCCAGCCAAAGGTCTTTGTCAATCGGCTTCATGTTGGTTGAAGGGACCATAGATGTAGAAGAGAAAGAAATCAAAGCTTGGCTTGATCTCATGCCCCCCAAAAGAGTCATACCTGTACATCTGCAAATCACCTTAGCCTAGATTTCAGGTTTTTCTTTTTGGTATCTGGCTTAGCAGTTGGAGTGGAGACCACATACATGTTGGAGGGAAGTCCTCCCCCTCTTCCTTAGGGGCTAAGCATTCTAGCCACCAATAGAAGATCTGGAGTTGGGGGCAGGGTTAAATATTCATCTCAAAGCAGTAGCAAAATGTATCTTTGGAGGAATATCATGCCTGACCATGGTCCCTGTTTCATTCTGCTAAAAGTCCTTATAGTGCCTCCAAGCAGAGTGGCCTGGCTCCCAGTCAGAAGTGGGTTTCTTAAGCTACTTATGGGGTAACTAAATACCTTCCTGGTTGTTGTAGCTACCTTTGTGTACTTCTGGGCTGAGTACAGCTCTCCTAGGGAGCACATAGGAAGCAGTAAAGGTGCTTTAGCCAATTTTATCAATGACCTGGTTGTAGCTCTTGTTGTATTTTGCCGACAGCATTGTACTGTAGATGTATTATTTATTAATAAAATTCTGGAAATGATTGATGTCTTTGACGACTTATGGGTTCGGGGAATGAAGGCTGCTATCTTTACTGACTTATCTTTGACTTATCTCTTGGTTAGAGAGTTTGAATCATGCCTCCAAAGGCACTCATGTCATGTCTCCAAAACCATTTTATAAAGCTTTAGTAAGACCACACCTAGAATACTGCATCCAATTTTGGTCAGCACACTATCAAAAAGATGTTGAGGCTCTAGAAAAAGTGCAGAGAAGAGCAACCAGGATGATTTGGGGACTGGAGGCTAAAACATACGATGAACAGTTGCAGGAACTGGGCCTGGCTAGTCTAGGGAAGAGAAGGACCAGGGGAGACATGATAGCGGTCTTCCAATATTTGAGGGGCTGCCACAGGGAGGAGGAGGGGGTCAAGTTATTTCCCAAGGCACCTGAAAGCCAGACAAGGAATAATGGATGGAAAATGATCAAGGAGAGATTCAACATGGAAATAAGGAGAAACTTTCTGATAGTGAGAACAATCAACCAATGGAACTGAAGAGACTGGACTGCCATTTGTCAGAAATGGTGTAGGGTCTCCTGCTTGGGTGGAGGGTTGCACTAGATGACCTCCAAGGTCCCTTCCAACTCTGTTTATCTATCTATCTATCTATCTATCTATCTATCTATCTATCTATCTAT